AGGGAAGTGCCAGGTGTGTGGCAGCTGAGGCATCCTGAGCCCCCGCCTCACCTGGTCAGGATGGCAGGTGTCAGGAAGCACCCAAACACCTGCCTCTCTCTTGGCTCAGGATTTATCAAGATGAATTAAATAGGGATCCGGTCTTTAAGGCCCTGGCAGGGGAGTTCCCCCGAGGGTTTGCAGCTCGCCAGTAAGTGTGTCCCCAGAGGGGGAGGAGGGTGTATTGATGCTGGTGGTGGTGGTGGCAGTGGGGATGGGGATGCTGATGGTGGGGGGAGGGAAAAAGCAAGTAGCCAAGTGTGAACAGGTTCCTGGTGAACAAGATGCTGTCCACCCCACCCCCTAGTCATATCTCAGTGTCCCTCACCCCCAATCCCCCACCTCCCAAGTCCTGATTCTACTTTGGGAAACTGCAGTGCTGAGTAAGCAGTGTGATGGTCCTTCTAGAGATTAAGAGGCTAAGGGCAGGCCAACTATTCTTGGTTGTGGGATGAGTTAGAATGGGGGACAGGGTGCAGGGGGAGCATGGTTGGAAAGTCTGGGGACTCTTGTTATCTAGAACATAGCTCCGAAACCTGAGGCTGGAGTCTAGTGGGCAGAGGGGCTTCAGAAGGAAAGAGCTAACCGGGACGGAGAGTGGGGTTGTTGGCCCATCTTCACACACTTCACTCAGCCTCCCTGGGCATCACAGAGTTCTCCCCCACCTCCCTCTCTCTCCACCATCCTGATGGTCAGAGGTCATTTAGGGGCCGGAGGACAAGTGGGCTGGGTGGGTGTTGACCACTGGGAAAGGACAAGCCTGGCCTTCCGTGGGCAGCTCCCCACGGCCCACAGAGCCCAGAAAATTGCTCTCTGGAGCATTTGTGGCCCTGCACCCCACACACCCAGGGCCTATCCTTCTCAGGAGAGAGAGACCAGAACTCAGCCATACTTCCAAGGGGGTGTGGTGGGGGGCGGGGGGCGGGCGCTCAGCCTTGATGCTGCTGGCAGCCCAGAACTTTCCATGGGCCCCTGTTGTGTCTACCTAGTCCAACGGCACTTTTCCTAGTTCTTGAAGACTTCCGGCATGGATGTATCATCCCACCCTCCTCTGGCCTTTGTTTTTGGGGCCCGTTTGGTCAGAGTGGCCGGCCATCCCCCACCTAGCACTTGGGCTTGCTCCTTGCCTCTGGCTGTGGAGACTCACAGCACCCCTGCGACCAACAGCCCTTCTTAGGGCTTTCAGGTTTTTTCTAAGGCAAGCGGGGTTGGGGTGGGGGTTCCACCCCTAACCTGTAGTCCCACCCCCTTGCAGGACACTGAGGCGGTAAACAATGGTTTACGCTGACTTCTTTCTCTCTCTCTGTCTTTTCTTTGAAAGTGCTCAAGTGTGGCCCCAGGGCCAAACAATGCAGAAAGTGGAAATTAACCTGTAGAGTCCTGTCCTTTGAAGAACTCCAGACAATGTTGCAAACCCTCTCTTTCTCCCGGAGTCTCCCCCAGGCAGGGCTTCTGAGGGCATACTACACCTCCCCCCAGCAGCACCCAAGTTTTGAAGCTTGGTTGCCTCTGAAGGGCAGGCTTCATGTTTTGATGGGCCTCCTTTCTTTTCTTCCTTTTTTTGGGTCACCTAACCCCGTGGGACATATTACTTAGGCAGCAGGAGAGTCTCCAGTATCAAAGATACTAATCAGGGTCTTGAGGTCACCTGTAGGCTCCAGCGAGACAGTGGAAACTTGGACGGGAGCCAGGGCGGAGCCACGAAGATTAAAGGGCTGGAGAGTGAGTGCCAGGGCCGACTAGCTCCACTTGGCTGCCCCAAGGCCCAGTCATAAATTGGTTTTCCATTTTGGAAGGGTCGACGTTTTCCATCACAAAGAGGCAGGCACACAAAGGCAGACTAGACCTGAGCTGTTTTATCCCGAGAGATGGACCCGAGTTGCAGAAGGGACTGAGGTGGGATGCGAGGGAGGACACTCTGTTAGGGAATAATCGCAGGTACCGACCATGGGTTTCTGGGACCTGGTTCACCAACAGGCCAGTACCCCTCTATGGCCAGTAGGTGGCAGAGGAGACTGATGCCCAGCCCCAGCCTTATTTCTAGAGACGAACCAATTTTAAACCCTGAAATTTGTGTCTCCCTCTCCTCATTCGACACAGTCCTTGAATCCTTTCCAGGTGTGCTTCCAGCCTGCAGTAAAAGCCCAGGAAGATGAACAAGTGATGATTGAACTGAACAGGTGGGGAGGGGAGGGTGGAGAAGGCAGGGGTCAGCTAGGATTGGGGTGGGTGGAGGGGGTGGGTTTATCAGCACACAACACAACTCCCTGATGTTTCTTTCCTCAGGGAAGAGCCACATTATCCAAGAACCCACTCCCACTGCCTGATGCCACTTTGAGAGGCTTCTACAGAGGAGGGGGGAACGCCTTGCTCTGCCCTCCTGGATGTTCCAGAAAAATCCATGACAATAGGGTCCATTCTGACTGGTGCCAGCCCTGTGTGTCACAGAACA